TCCCGTTGCAGGTACCACCCCGCAAGGAACCAAGACGACGAAGGCGTTTGCGGAATCAGGGCAGAAGGTGGTTGGTTCGATGCGCTCCAACTCGCGAGACAACACCACAGTGGTCGCTACCATCAGCGCTGATGGTCACACCTGGGCACCAACCATTATCTTTATAGGGCAACGACTTCAGGCCGATTGGTTTGTTGAGCGAAACGGCCCGGAGGGTGCGAGGTACACCTGTAAGGATTCTTCGTTCATGCAGGGAGACGTATTCATCGCCTACTTGAAGGATTTCCACAAGCAGCTCGGCGACCGAGGGTTGCTCGACGGGAAACCCCACATACTCTTGCTCGATGGACATGCATCACACGTGAGCGTGGAGGTAATTAGGCTGGCCATGAATCTCAAAATCATCTTGTTCCAGCTACCCTCCCACACGTCGCACATCACCCAGCCCTTGGATGTCGTCGCCTTCGGACGCTTTAAGAAATCGGTGACCAGAGTTTTGGCGTCCTTCTACCACAACTCCGGCGGGTTGTTGCCGCTGAAACGCGAAATGCCCGGCGTGATCGCGGAAGCTCGGAAATCGAGCTTTACACCGGAGATAAATCATCATGCGCTGGGGCGGGCTTGTGGCCTGTGAACAAGGAGCGGGCGCTGGGCCGGCTGGAGGGCACAGCGAAGAAGAAAGAGCGGCGAGACGAGCGCCCACCCCTGCAGGATGTCCCCATCGCCGCCCTCAACGAGCAGCTGGAAAAAGGACATCGGTGAAAGGGCCCTCAGGGTGCTGAGGGGGCAAGGGCACACCGTCACGGAAATCCGAGTAGGCACGGTGTTACTCGGTGGCCTCTTGACTCAAAGGAAGCGCGCGAAGAAGATGGCGACCGCGCAGGGCTCGCTTGGCCTTCCCGACGGAAGCAACATTACCGCGCCTGAGTTCCCGGACGCTGTTGCCGAAAAAGAACGCGCAGACAAGGCGGAGAGCGGCGCGAAGGCTGCGAGGGCGAAAGTCCGCGAAGAGAAGAGGGCAGAAAAAGCGGCCGCGGAGCTATTGCGGCAGGCGCGTATGGCCGATGGAGGAAGGGGACGGGGGCGGGGAGGAGGGAGGGGAGAGGGAAGGGGAGGGCGTGGCGGGCACAGAGAGAGCGCGAGAAGGGGACGGGGGCAGCGGCCGGGTGGCTGGAGCAGAAGGGACGACTTTGTCGGAACGTCAGCCAGCAGCGCCCTCCGTGTCCAGGGTTGAACGACAACGACGCCTACACCCGTTGTCAACGTTTTGTTTGTTTTGTTTTGTTTTTCTCCCATCATTGGACTCTGCTGTCTGCCCCTCTGGCCCCTATCCTCCACTTCTACTAGCTAGACGACCCAACCGGGGTCACATAGGAGGGGGGGGCTGGACACCGTNGCCCTAAGCAGGCTGCGAGGTTACCCACTAGACCACCGGGGCGACCGGTGTAACGTGTAGCCGTATGGATATTTATCACGTGTCCTGACAGGTTCAGATTTGAATCGAACACGCCCAAATGGTCGTGAAGTTGTACCCGGAGTCGATACGCACCCTGTAGAACGTCGCATGTGGGTCGTAGGCTATGCGACGGTGATTTCAGGGCGTGCCAGCACCGGGCGGGCAGGATGCACAGGTTTTGAACCCAACCCGGGGATGTCATCATTTTGTCCCCGGGTGACCTGTGTGTGTGTGTGTATTTTTGTTTTGCGATGAATTTTTTTCACTCATACTTAAAGGTTCCCTCAAAAGTGCCCGTCGCGGAGGTGCAAAGGTGTTTTGAAACTACGGTTGTTTTCGGCGTTACTTCTTACCGTAGCGGCAAAAAGCCTAAAATCGGAAAAAATATCCTTATTTGACCTTCCATATATCATCAGGTGTGCTCCAATGGGCGTGGAATTGTGCGTACAATCGAGACATACACGGTAGAACGTGTGGTTCGTACCCTATGTGATGGTGACGTTCGTGCGCTCTGTACCGGGGGGGGGAGGGATGCGCAGGTTTTGACCGAAAACCCGGGGACGCGGTGGTTCTGTCCCCGGGGTGGCTTCTTTTTTTTCTTAACATGTTTCTCACTCATGTTTATTTAAAGGTCCTCTCCAAAGGTTGTGTCGTGGAGATGAATGAGTATTCCTCAATGGTGGATAGAGTTTGGCGGTGTTCGGCGTGGATTCTTGCCGTTAGGGGCATGCTGAATCAGGTACAAGTACCCATATTTCCCATATTTGACCAAGCACCATTTTACGTAGACAACTTACTTCGCCGTGATTTTTTTTCTCGAGTCGTCTACTGACTGGAATAACACATTTATGCACCAAACTGGTTGTTCTGCCTCGTTTCGAACACAGAGCACGCAATACAGGTCATGGAGGGAAAAACTCATCCCTACCCATGGTGTCGAACACCCGGGGATACGTCATTTTCATCCCCGGATGTCGATTTTTTTTTTTTTACTTTTTCTTCATTCCTATTGTATTTTGCGCATGCCCATTAAATCTTGGGTCTTGAAACGCTTTCAAACGTACGAAATTAACAAATGATGAAAGTGACCTGTAGTACCCCCAGGGGTAATTTTCTCTCAAAATGGCGCCGCTTGCAGCTCAGGTCTACGGCTCCAGCCCTACCTCGTCTATGTTGACGATTATTTTTCCATTTTTTTTACGTAGGCGGGGGGTGATCTTACCTATGGCTCGATACCACAATATCATCGAAATTCAATTTCCTGCTCAAGAACGAGCTCTTAGCACAGGGGGTGGCTTACGTGGCCTTTAATACCCGCCTCAACTCTACTCCGCCTGTAGGCAGTGTATTCCACTATACAGGATGCTCCACATCACTCGTATTGGACAAAACGTTTCACTTCTTGAGCTCGTACTGCTGCCAAGCCCGAACTTCAGATAGTCTGAGCTTGCAATGCGCAAGAACTTGTCATCATTCAATTGCTGCGCTGGCGGACCAAAAGCACCACCGAAGTAAACGATGATTAGGTAACTTGCCTCTGTACCCCTGTCTATTTTCTTGGGTGTGGGATCGGGTCATCGTGTGATGTTCATCCACTCACCAAATACACCAGGGGCGTTTTCATGTTTAAAGCACGCTCGGGCGTGTGTGTATCCTCCAAGCAGGCCCCACTAATATAGACTGGCAAAGGACAGTTCGATCCAACCGAAAAATCATCGCGTGGAACTCTATATGTCAAATGAAGTGAAGGGGGGCGGTATACCACGTCAAGGACGCACCTTGCACAAAAAACGTCATTTAAGCTGCAAGTCATCTCACAAGAAAAAATCCCGGTGGTTCGACCACAGCCGCATCTCACGTGTGTCCACCTTGCAAAAAGGACCATCTGCAGCATCATTCATTCCGCCGAGGGACGACATTGAGACAATTCGACAACACGCCCGCAAAGGGGTGATGAAGACACACGAGCGAGGGTTTCTTCATATGCAGCCTGTGGGGTTGTCTCTTGGCTCGTCGCATATCGCAGCGCCCAGACTCCTAGCTCCATCACGCTTTACAAAACTTGCACTCTATGACCCTGCAGCACGTCGAAGTGCATGAGGCTGGCAAAGAGAGAGTCTTCGCGCAAGCGGAAGACAAGTGTGACCAGATTTTCCTGTGCGGAACGATGGTGGATTTTTTACTCTAGATCTATTCTTCAGGTTGCCCTGCAGAGACAGCGCAATGGATAGCTCGGGGAGCATATCGGGCGCGTAAAAACACCTACAGTGCAATTTTGCTCGGACTTAACGCCTCGGGAAGAAAATAATCCAACTGCCAGCTCCTGCTTGTGGGGAAAGCATAAATTTACAAACCCTTGACATCTGATGCGTCATTGGCGTCACAAAAATCGCCGTCATCTTCTCCGTCTTCCCTCTCGTCGTCCGCTGGTCGTGCCTTGCCCGCAGCCCCACCCGTCTTCTTTTTCTTTTTCTTTTTCTTCTTCTTTTTGCGAGTTCCTACGGGCTCATCAGGTAACCACACCATGTCGTCTTCAAAGCCGAGCGCTCTAGCGTAGGCGGATCTGGTGAGAGTATGGAGAACGAAGCACGTGAGGCAACACGCAGCTCTTACAAATCGGATCACACAAGGGTACCTCATGAGCTTCGCGTGTTGACTTAACCGCGTGTCGCTTCCTCTGCATACTTTCCTTCCTGTGCGCACCCTCTGCACACGCGAAAGAAATACTACACTTATCCCTAGAGCGCTTTTAATACCTCATCCTGTGGAGGATGTAACTCTGAACTGACACCTACTCGACGAGAGTCGTCAAGTCGCAACAAGCTTACCCATGGTCGATTCCTACGTCCTCTGGGAGCGGCTGTTGTCCCAGAGTCTCCGGCCCGTTTGCGTAATACCGAGGCACCACGGGCACCTGTCATCATCCAGAACACAAAATTTTCGAGACTACCATAAATAATATACTGTATGTGAATAACAATTCATTTGAAGCAAATGTGTGCTTGGAACGGTACAGAACACAAATTCTTGAAGAATGGCGCCAGAGTATCTACGAGGAACATACCCTTCAGATAATCTCTTTTTGAGACAGGCTCGAATTCTGAATTCCTCTGTGGGTAACCTAACAGCGACTATTGGCCATAGTACGGGGTTCTTAACTAAGAATATGGTGAAGTTCTAAATCACACTCATCCTGTATTGAGATCCCAGGTTCTAAAACTCCAAGGTAGTACGTGGTGACGCGTTTTGTTGGGTTTCACGACGGGAACTGTTGGTTTGCCCTCACTGACGATGCATACCGTTCTGCTGTTGTAAAAAAGCGCTTTGCCGGTCACTAGACGTGCGGCTAAGAAAAATCCGTAATTAGCAGCACACCAAGAATACTGACCTCAAAGCCCAATCCAGGCCTTTGCTGCTCAAGCGTAGCCTCCCGGAGACTTCCCAAGAAATTGCGCCACTGCTCATGGGAGTTGAGGTAGTTCCGAAGGAACTCTGTCGGGGGCATTGTATCTGCCTGGAGGCGAATGGCGTTGCAGAGCTGCAGCACATAACCCCTGTTACCAGCACTCTGCGAGGGAAACATGAGGGATCCAAGTGAGGGACGATGAGTCTGACCGCATCGCTGTACTGATGCTCGCAATAACCGCTTGTCTGCACTGGAAACGTAAAAGGCATGCCATACACAGCGCCAACCCCCCGTGTGCACTCATATCTGACCGAGTGGGCTAAACTCACCTTATCGCCGTCTACGTGAGAGTCCACGAGCTGCGCCACCAGTCGCCCCTTCGATACCACCATCCGTAATGCGCCAATGTTGTTGCATCTCAACACCTTGAAAACAAGCTTGTAGAAGATGCTGTGGTACAGGTTGTTATGGGGATATCGGAAGAACCAGCTGCACAACACCTTCCACAGCTCCACTGGCAGGGCATCCAGCTGCTGAGGATCTCGATTGACGATCTCATATACAATACCGACAAGGACATAACGAAGCATCGTGAACGGACGCTTCACTTCATACCCTGGATGTGCCACTGCTTCCGAAGTCTCTTCCGCTTGCCTGCCTGAAGGCAGCCGGTTGCGGCACATAGAAAGTTGGTTCGGGATACGGATGGGCGAAAGATGACATGGGGCAACCTCGTGCTGGCGAAGTTAGAACAAGGGCTACGAAGATGTGACATGCAATAGTGCTCTCACAAGGAGAGGTGGTTTCAAGGCCGAAAATACGTCTATCAAATACCAAACCTTTGGATGCAAAAACACACGCCTGCAAAATAAGATAGATTCCATCGAAGAAAGGAGCTTAAATACCAGCTAGCATCCACTCCTGTCCCACGGGTGGCGTACCTGGACCCTTGTCATCGCAGTTGGAGACTGCGACGCATAACTTCGGCAACCAGGTTCGTAGTTGCTCATGAAGTAGCTCTCGCACAGAGCTCAGTCGATTTGGAACCACAGTAGTTTTTGGTTGCGAGTCATACATTGACTGAACGACAGGAACAACACACGCGCGATGGCAGAACGCGAAGTAAGCAAACATGCTCATTTCATGAGGCCCGAATCACTGCCCACGTTGCTCAAACATGGCTAGCTACTTTTGGGGGCCGGAAGGGAGCTGGCCATAGCAGGCAATCGCACGCACCGTGCGTGCGTTGACCAATACGATATTCGCGTCGGCTGCCTTTTGCGTTATTCCCAGCAGAGTCCGTGCGCTATCTGTCCGCCGCTCTAGTGGAAGACCTTGGTCAACCGCCATGGCTGCCAGCCCGTCAACCAATTCCTTGCAGTACCCAATGGGTTGAAGCAGCAACTCCCCATTGTCGTCGGACGACAGTCGATCCACCACCTAAGGGCAAATTGATGCGAATGGCAGTGATGTGAACCATACACAAGGGTAGAAGCATTCCGCCATCGCTAACCTAGCAGGCACGACACATTAGATTTCTACTATTCATACATGTATCGCGAAAACGGCCAAGCGCCTAGGCAGGCGCGCATACCTCGAGGAGAAGGTCCGCACACGCCGAGGCGTACGAATCGGAACACTCTCGATCGAAGATGTTCTCCGCAACCCGCAGAAGAAACCGCCAGTCTGCAAGACCAGAATACAACCGCCACTTGCTTGGTGCCGATGTCTGTGAGCAAGTCGGTGCGTGGAAACGGATGATACGTATGAGGTCATGGCTCCAAAGGAAACAGCTACTGAATTTCACGCGAATAAGGCGAGCGCGAGAGCATTTCGCCGAAACACAGAAGCGTCTACCTGGTAGGTAGCAGCGCCTGTCACCGCGCCTCCCACCGACGGAAAGGTGAGTAGTTTGACCATTGTTTCAGAAACAGGCGAGTACTCTGCCCATCGAAGCATGGGTCCTAGATGTCGTTCCAGCGATTCACGAGATCGTCCCAATGTCTCGAAGACCTGTAGCATCATGAAAAACGAACGGCGTCGCGGTTGCAGTTCGATGTCAACCTTCCGCACACTTGGTGTTTTAGCAGGGCCGAATGGGGAAGGCGTAAGCAAGTTGCACCGGGTGTGAAACTGAAGCCTCCTACAATGCGTACCTCGTCTGCATACGACCTCAGCAGGTAATCCAGCACGCAACATGCGTGGTGCAAGCTCCCTTTTGCACTCGGCCAAAAGACCTTCAGAACAGCAGCTGTTAATTCTCGTGCCTTCTTTGCCAAGAATGTCCTGTGACTATCTGAAGGTTCACTGTTTGCCAGCAGCATTGTAGCCCTGACAGCAGACGATTGACAAAGTTGGGATACGTAAGACATAGCACAATATCTGTTGTCGCCAGTCGCCAGTAATGCTCGTTTTGGCTTCTCTACCCTACCGAATCTGACGCACTCTATGCCCTCGCCTACTGCAGTAGTCGTGCAACCGTCTGTTCCTGCTGGAACAGTGCTGCGTCTCGCCGCATACACGTACGAGTTGGACTGTAACCAACCACACAGATATACACAAGACATCATTTTGTCGACATCCTTTTTGTTTCTTGGGGAAAGTCAGTCACCATGCGCGCCATTCCCGATTAAACTCTCGTGAACAAGAAGAAAATCAGCGTGATCGATACAAAACCCATTACAATCTGTCCAATATCGTGCCTGATCATTCTTGAAGGATGAATGATTCAGCTTCATATTCTGCACCAGCTGGTTGTGATGTTGTGACGATGTAAAAGGTTGCAAATCAAACGGGCGCAACGATTACTCTCCGAATGTCGTAAGTAGGCGCAAGTGCCACAATGTAGTGCTGCTTGTGAACTGGAATGTCTCAACACACGGCAGTTTTATTCCACAAGTTACACGCACATACACCGACCGGCATCATTGTTTGGGCGATACGCACCGTCGTGCTGAAAAAAGAACGTCAGATAGCACCTCACCGGAACGACCGCTTCAGCTCCTCAGTAACCTCATCTCCAGGCTCCGGTCGCTTGCACAACAATCCCTCGCAGCCTTCACGCGGGCTATTCCGTACCTCGTCCTCCTCGCCGATTTGTGAAATGAAAGTAACGTACAACTCGCAGGCTCCATCAACTGACAAGAACTGGATCATCTGGAGAAAGCACCGTACGGAATGTAACGTGCAGTATCAGGCGGCGCACAGGGTCGTGTGAAACGGAATGTAGGACCTTAAGCAGCATGACAAATCTCGTCTACAGCGGTACACACGATATGCGGGCGATGTTTGAACGGTGAATCGACACGATAGGTGCGGGAACAAGTCCCGCGTTGAAACCCCTTACATACCGTTACCGCAACGTAGTACAGCGCACAGGCAAGAAGCCGCAACTCGCTCTTGTTGACACTCCCCTGGTTGATTGCCGCAGAAACGAGGATGTTTCTTGGTGCTGCATGTATGCTGTGTCATGCATACACAGTCATGTCCCTTACTTCTCAGAGAGCGTTTGTCGCATTCAAGCATCAAGCCGGTTTATACTCGACGTGCAAAAAGGGTTGAGACATACGTCAAGAAACCCGCGGACGCGACGATCATCTACCACGACGCCAAATCATGTTGGCAGCGCAGCAGCCAAAGCCAATTGGTCATGGGACGCCGGGAGGTGTGTGGGGGAGCACCACGGACGGTGTTATCTAGAACCGTTTTCACATAGTACAAAGCAGTATGTCCGCGAGCTTTCACGATACCTTCTCCGTCATGAAAGGCTCGTCCATATCCAGCATGCGCGCAATCAGAATTTTGTCTGCTCGCCGTTTCTCCAAGAGTGCGTCTGACCCACGCACCGCAACAGGCGCAGCATCTGCCTGCTCCTTGCCAAAGAAGACATTCGGTTGGAACAGGTGGGCAAGGGAGCGCGGGCGAGATGCAAGACAGCAGTAGCACGTAGGTGAGGGGACCGCTAATAGGCTACATGTACCATCCGGACACGTATAACAAAGCCAACCACGATTATGCACTCGAACAACAGACGAGCAGGAGAACCACACGGCGTGGACGCTCTACACGCAAAGTATGTGGTTCGACTGCCACGGGCTCGGCAGTACAGAGACGGACAATCATCCAGCACCAGTCTCTCAAGTGTTCCTGCAACCTATGTCCATCATCGTTCCCGTCAGGTTGCCCGGCACCTATGGCGCCGACTCGAGGTCTCGCTCGGAGGAAACACAGAATACAACACTCTGTTGCTGTGTCCCTGCTGTGACTAGGTTTGGTTTCCTCTGCAAAAAGACCTGCTCCTCTCCGCAGAGTAATGCTCTTAGACGCACTCCGGCTGAAGGCAACTGCGAAAATGCAAAATGTTGCTGCTGTTGCGTGGCAAGAGAGGGCGCACGCCCTGTACTCCATGTGTAGAACCCACTTTCATTCGGCTAGCTCACCTGAATGGCGTCGCGAGCGTCGCTGTCCATCTTAGCCCCACCATTCACGTATGCAACAGCTGCTACCGTACCATTCGACTGAAGCTCCATGAGTTTAGCTCTCAGAAATGAGCCTCGCGACGCCTTGCACGTCCTGCCGTTATGGCGGTGGTGAGGCAAGGCCAGCAGCAATACGCAACAGACAAGCAGCACAGCAGAGAAAGGCAGCGAAGCTCGGGGGGCTCGTGCGCGAAAAAAGAAAAATGAGCCCCACCCTGTCGCACGTTCATGTACACTTTGCGGAGCTACCTCCAACCACTCGCAACCACTACCGTCAGGTTCATTTGGGTTCCGTGTTGCGTCAGTTCGTGTAACACATGCACTCGTGTGTGTGTGCACGTTCGAATGATAGGCACACTAGATGCAATGAGTTACATAATACATACAACCTTTATGTATCAACAGTCATAGAACCAAACTAACTGTGAGGCGATCACCTGAATGAATGGCGCCGACAGCCACTTCGGTGGAAAGCGGATTCCTGTTCGATACGGTGTCGGGAGTGCTGAGGGGGGAGGGGGAGGGCTTGGCCCTTGTGGTTGAAGGTGGCAAGGAAGTATGAACAGGGGGTGGCAGTGTCGGGGGTCTGGGGGAACATGGGCTTGAGTGGGGGTTGCCTCAGAAAGAGCAAGACGGCGGATGTTTCTCTCTTGGTGTGACCGGTGGCAATATCGATCAGCAATGAATGCCGCACAGACTTTTGCGCGCCGAAATATGCGTGCGACAGCTTTAACCTAACCACTTCGGTGGAAAGCGGATTTCTGTTCAATACGGTGTCAGGGGTACCAGGGAAGACGGGGCCGAGTTTTGTTTGATTTCGGGTGGATGAGGTTGGGGTTTTGTTCGTTTTTCTCCATCATCTATCTAAGGTTCGTGCCTAGAGTTCAGCTGTAGTGTTTCGACAAAAGTTTTGTTGACTTAGAGGCAAACATGCCTAGCTATTATTGGGCACCGAGTTAATTTGGCTTGGCATGACGGCCTTTACGATCGACTTTTTATGTATGCCGGCAATTATCTGCAATTGTCGGAGGGCAAACAAAATAATAATAATAATCGTTGGTTGGCACTGATTCTCCATCATCACACCAGAGCTGAGAGCGAGAGTTGTTGTTGTTGTTGTTGTCTTCACATCAAGACCATTCCGATCTCTCTCTATCCAGTACCTTCGGATGTCCGTACTGATGCAGAACTCGACGCGGTCGATGCCGGTGGTCACAGGTTAACTTACCCTTAATAAAAAGGTACACTCAAAACAACAAACTCGCCCCGAGGGGTCCGTAGTAAGTCAATCAATAATAGAAATCAACGACAGATATTCTGGAGTCCTCCATCCACTCCCTCTGCGCGCTATGCGAGGTAACAACTGAGACTAGGAGTCAACATCACGGGCCGGAGAGAAAGAGGTACACTCCCTTGGTTCAATCATAGTACGTCACAACGCAAGCAGAGACAAGGCCATCTATCTGGCAGAGAATAAGAAGAGAGAAAAAATAGGGGAAAAAAAACGGAGAAAAATGAGAAAAATGAGAAAAAGGAAAAAAGGAAACAGTAGACTACAAGGAAAGCGGAACAAAATGGAACAGAGCGAGGACAAAAAGGGACCAGGCCGAAAATGACCAGAAGAATAACAGACAGGAAAAGGCACACGGTCGGTGGAGAGACCACTAACAACGAACAAGCAAACAAACACGCAAAAACGACCACCAACCAGCGATTATCATCATCATACATGGTAGTGGTACGTTATCACTAAGTAATACTCGTGGGGAGTTGGTGCAATCAATGGGGTTCGAGTCCTTCATCTCGATCGAATAATATGCCTCTTTCCTTTCTGAAATTGTTGTTGCTGTTGATGTTGTTGTTCTATGTGTTTTTTTTTCCTTCCATCAATCATCGGATTCTGTCTCCTGCCCCTCTGGCGCCTATCCTCCACTTCCATTATTAGCTAGACGACCCAACCGGGGTCACATAGGAGAGGGGGGCTGGACCTCCTCCTGCGGTTCCTATACAGCGTACTACTACTGCTGTAGTATACTGCTGTCTGAAGTGCTGTCTGTACAATAATGACGTAATCTGACCAGGTGAAAATACACAGCCTCAACGGTCTCCAAATCTACAAAACAGCCGGTCAGGTTGAGCGCAGCACGCACACTCAGTCTGATCCCCACCGCCAGCCTCCCTTTGTATGCGGAGTAGCCGGCATTTTGGATCCCTGCCGTACTACAACCCATGTCTAAGCAAAAGCTTGTCAAGGAGCGAGGGGAAGAAGGGAGAAGCTCTGGCGCTAGCGAATGTTTTCTCATGGTTCATTCTCAGGGGCACGCAGGAGGCTCGTCGGTTCATTTCCGGGCGTGAACGGGGACCGAGTCAGGCATCCGTGGATCCGCGGCACGTACAATCGGCGCCTAAAGTCGCCCCGACTGGCTTTTTTTCACGCGGAGGTATTCCGAACCCAAAATACCTACTTTATTCAGTAGACTACGTACTGAAATTTTTTTCAAAAATAGCTTCAAAGTAACAATAAACAGGGCAGGTTTGTAGTCGCTACCGTTTTGGGGGCGAACACAGGCGGGGCGGTTTTGTAGTACAGATGTACTTTTTCGGCGGTACTTTTCGGCGATACCTTTTGGCAATCCCGGTAACACCAAATTACGGCGGGAAAATTACGGCAGTAGGTGTTGGAACATGGCAGCAACCACCTCGGGCGGTCGGTCGTTGTTTTTCTGGTGGTCATATATATATATCCATGTGCATACTCTTTAGATCTTCTGATGGCTCTAGCAATGTTGTGAACGCGGACCGCGTCGTTGCTAGATGTATGTATTCCTACTCCACCAAGACTGATTACTCTCCATTCATTTGCAAAAGCACTGCAATCTCTCCCCTCCCATGTAGTACTTATATCACAACCTCCTCTGATACATCCCGTCATTACTCGACACGCAAAGTAGCAAACATCACGTGATGTTTTTTTTTTATATATATATCGAAAAGAGCGGGAAAGCAACAAACAGTCGACATGTTTTGAGATTCAAATTCTGTTTGCAAACATGTACGATTGTGTATGTATGTTTGTTTTTCCTCATAATGTACGACACAGCACAAGACTTACCTCCGTTTCCTCTCTCCTACACAACCAAGTTTACTGCCCATACACACGCAAGAGCACTGCAATCACTCTCCCCCCATAATGCATACTTTGCGTCACAATCTCATTTGATGAGTCTCATTATTACTCGTCATACACGCATATCAAACAACACCATGGGTAGAGTTGAAAATCAAATTGAGCGGGAAATCAACAACCACCTGACTGACTGACCTGTTCAGAAATTCAAAAAATATGTATACAGCATCGAACGGGTAGTCTTTCTGTGTGTATATTTGTGACTCCAAATATGTACCGCAGTAGCCTTTATGAGTGTTGTTGTTGTTGTCTTCACATTAAAAACCATCCCGGTCTCTCTATCCAGTACCTCCTTCTGTCTCAATCTCTCCGTACTAATTCATCACTTGACTCGGCCAATTTCCGTGGTCACAGGCTAACGTACCTAGAAAAGGTATACCAAAATAAAATGGACCCCAAGGGTCAGCAGAGCGATAAAATACAAGAAAACAAAATATAATCAGAAACAAATAAAATAAAATGAAATAAATAATTAGACTAATGTATATTTGTTTTTTCAAATAGGTACAACAACTACTGCTGTAATAAACAGTACTTTGTAGTAAATAGATAAACTAACGTATGTCGGTTATTGCATACTGCTGTAGCCTTTCTGCACGTATACTTGTTTTTCCTAAATACTGCTGTAAAAAGCCCCCCTCGAACGACTATGAATTTCGCTCGAACAGGGAGCTTTTATGTGTTTAACGGGTAGTCTTTCTGTGTGCATATTTGTTTTTCCTAATATATGTATTTTTCTAAATTAAACCAGCAACTACTGTCAACATGACATATTGCGCCGTGTTCCCTGTGCAGGCCACATGTAAATGTACCTACGCAGATGTTTTTGTGCTAAGCACCAACTGGTATCACTGATATAAATCATCAGTGTATAGGCTTAAACAAACTCGAAATAAGTCAAGTACCCAGCTGGTTTTCCTCTACTCACTGTAAAGACTTCAACACATCCCCTTCGAGTGTAGTTATACCTCGAACGGGTAGTCTTTCTGTGTGTATATTTGTTTCTCCTAAAATTTGTTTCTCCTAATATATATGGCTCAGCCTCACTCACTTCTTTGTGCCCTGGGCTGCGGGAGACGCGTCCCCGGGAAACCAAAACGCCATACTACTTCACACCAGCAGCCAAACATTCAGTATGTATACACACAGCAGGCAACCCATCTGTTGCTGCTGGGCTGCATGTCGTCTTCTCCTAAAACCAATGCAGATGGTTTATATGATGAGCTATACAGCATGAGTACCACGGGGTTGCCCGCGCAGCAACCTCTGTATGTATTACGTTCGCGTAGCAAGCAGCTATCACTGCTGCTGCAGCTGCTGCTGCTGTGTGTGTGCTTCTTCTCGGTTACGAACCTACAGAGCAGCGTCGATGTACAACCCTCTCCTCCAAGCGTGTGCATGAACAGGTATAACCTCACACACATCATGACATACTGAATCGTCGTCACAGCAGTTGCTGCACGTCTCTCTTCGCTCGTACTCTCCGCTCTGTCTCTCTCTGTCTTGTGCGAATTTCACCACACGCTGACTCTCAACTCTCAACGTGCTACTGGGGCACGGGACAACTGCATACCCCCTAATTACATAATGTTCATT